ACGGAGGCGGCCGGCTGGCCGGTGACGTGCGGAAAACAGACTCCCCAATCTGTAAGATTGCACAGTAGGTATGTTTATTCAGCGCCGGGCAGCACGGGGGGTAGTCCCACCAAAGTCGTGCGCGCCGCAACACGGCAGCTTGTCCTGTTTATATGTAGCCAAGTGTTACATATACATGAAGTTTCCCAATGCGCCTATACATAGGCATAACCTGTCCCCGCTTCGTATTAAAATTAGTTTCAAGAGGTCATTTCCATAAGTTCCTCCCAACTGCGCATGCTCAGTGATTTGAGTCGATGGTCTTCAGGGGTCGTTTACTTCATCCACTCCTCTTCTTCACCTTGTCCTTTTGGTGAACTCCAGCTTCCACCCCCCCTTATTCTGCTGTCAGAACAACACAGCCGGTACCAGCCGGCTCCCCATCCTGGGCTATCCTCATAGCGACAAAGTGCCAGACGCTTTGCTCTCCTACCTTCCCAGGCCTGTAACAAAGATGGGCCATTTGCTACTCATCTCCCCTCTTCCACATTCCCTACAGTGTTAGTTTCTTATCTATAGTTTACTTCATATCACAGAATCACAGAATCGTAAGGGTTGGAAGGGACCTCAGGAGATCATCTAGTCCAACCCCCCTGCTAAAGCAGGCTCACCTAGAGCATGCTACACAGGACTTCATCCCGGCGGGCCTTGAATATCTCCAGAGAAGGAGACTCCACAACCTCCCTGGGCAGCCTGTTCCAGTGCTCTGCCACCCTCAGAGTGAAGAAGTTCTTCCTCATATTCAACTGAAACCTCTTATGTTTCAGTTTGCATCCATTGCCCCTAGTCCTGTCGCTGGACACCACTGCAAACAGACTGCTTCCGTCCTCAATATGATTAGTAAATTAATCTAAAACACAATGCTAGCAATTTAAGATGGATCTACAGTTGGCTTCACAAAGGTCCTTTTGTTAGCCCTTTAGCCTCCCTTCAGCCGGCCCTGCGGAGCCTCGGCGCCGGCCTGGCGCAGGACCCTCCCTTGAGGGTAAAGCGGGCTCCAAGGCCTGCGGAGGCCTCTGCCAGCGTAAGATGGGTGGTGGGCCCATGGCACATCCTGAGCAGGGGCGGGCTCGGCGGGGCCTGGCGGCTGCCCTCTGCTAGCAATGCTGTCCGGGGCCTTGAGCTACCAGGGCTCTGCACACCCCCTAGAACCTGGCGCTGTGTGAGCCCTCTCCCGTGCAGCTGTGGAGAGAGGGAACTAAAGAGCCATGCCCTCGGAGTGACCGCTGCCTTAAGCCTCACAAACTCGGGTACGGGCAAGAGATTTACTAGTCTTAAAGAGAAAAAGTAATATCGGAGTCCTATACATTAATCATAGAATCGCTTTGGTTGGAAAAGACCTTTAAGGTCATCGAGTCCAACCTTTAACCTAACCCTGCCATCCCACCACTAAACCCTGTCCCTCAGCACCTCATCTATCCTTCTTTTAAATACCTCCAGGGATGGGGACTCGACCACCTCCCTGGGCAGCCCATTCCAGAGCCTGACAGCCCTTTCGGTGAAGAATTTTTTCCTAATGTCTAGCCTAAACCTGCCCTGGCGCAGCTTCAAACCATTCCCCCTCGTCCTATCATCTGTTACCAGGGAGCAGAGGCCGACCCCCACCTCCCTACAGCCTCCTCTCAGGCAGTCGTAGAGGGCGATCAGATCTCCCCTCAGCCTCCTCTTCTCCAGACTAAACCCTGGAGGTATTTAAAAGAAGGATAGATGAGGTGCTTAGGGACAGGGTTTAGTGGTGGGATGGCAGGGTTAGGTTAAAGGTTGGACTCGATGACCTTAAAGGTCTTTTCCAACCAAAGTGATTCTATGATTCTACGATTCTATGACATGACCTTCAAACACCTTTGGCTCTCTGAAGGCCTACTTCGGTTTCCCGGTCATCCACAGAATTCCCAGCGGGAGAAGACAAGAGGAAACAAAGCCCGCTCGCGAAACGCAGCACGTTT